TTGCTATAGAATTCATTCTGGTTCCACTCCATCTTGAGTGAGTAATCTCATTCCCACATCTGAAATGCTGAACTGCTCCTCTGGGAGGATCTCGAAGTCATGGAGGGGATGTCATCAGAAGCCTTTGCCCATGAGGACCTAGAAAAGCCCTTGTTCACAGGTCTCTGAGACAGTCCTCTCTGGTGGCAGAGGGGCACTCTGGCTCTCGGAGAAAGACAACGTGAAAACAAAACAAACAAACAAACAAAAAACCCAAAAAAACCTGTCAAGACACTTAAAATGGCTGTGATTAACTTACTTAAAATTTTCAAAAGTGAAAAACCTGGGCCAGCCCCATGGCCGAGTGGTTAGGTTCATGTTTCTGCTTTGGTAGCCTGGAGTTTGCCAGTTTGGATGCGGGGCATGGACATGCACACCACTCATCAGGCCATGCTGAGGCAGTGTCCCACACAGAAGAACTAGAATGACCTACAACTAGGATATACAACTATGTACTGGGGTTTGGGGAGGAAAAAAAGTCAAAAACCTGATGTGGGTTCGTTACTAAAATAATTCAACTTACAGAGAAATGTTGTTGACTAAGTATCATGGAAAACATTCAAAAGATTTTAAAATTGAACTTTGGAAGGGATATGATCTGAGAACTTAACCTTTTCAAGGATGAGAAGAATTGATATCTTAAAAATCAAGGATGTGATAAAGTCAATATATAGCACAGAAAACCCCTCTGACAAGACACAGAATCTTACCTAGGGAGATAAAAAATAAGGCAGAGGAAGCTTTTTAAAATCTCTCAGTAAGAGGCAACTAGTAATCCAGGGAAATTTTGTCCTCTTAACAGAGAGAAAACCAAATTCTAGCTTTATATTAATATAATATTGGTCCTCAAAGCCCCATTTAAAACAATTCTTATACATAAACCCATTAGATCTGGGCCAGCTTTGACCAGGGCAAAGAAAATTCACTCTAAACTTTTTGCCGTTGTCTATATCTGTTCAGGTTTTGTTGTACACTCTTCTCTTCATTTGTATTAACTATATTTTCTTACTATTCTATATTCTTGAGGCTTATAAACAAAAAGTAAGAAAAACAGTTTAGCCTCACAGAGACACAAGCCATTCTAAAACATTTAAAAAAAGAGGATGGGAGGGAAGGACTGAAGATATTGCAGACAGAGCACCAGCCCTTCCTCCACTCGCTCTGCCTCCAATCTGCAGGAGTCAGAAACAGTCACAACCGAAACCTCTGCTTGAAGGTGCAAAAAGCCTCAGACACAACAAAATAAAACAATACAAAGGCAAAAAGAGAGTGAAAAAGAGAAAAAAACCCAAGATACCAGGGAAGAAAATAAAAACTAATTGAATAAATTATGTATACATACATAATATTTTAATGTAAATAGATAATTTCTATATATGTATAATGTACAGCTAAATGAAAACAAAGTTTCATAATTTGATCTAATTAAAAATTCAATATTTCAATTCCCGATTTATATAAGAAAGAATTCATCGAACACAGAGTTCAAAAATGACGCCAACTGGCTTTTGTGCCTCTATATCATAGGTTCTAAATTCTCGTGAGCATTTGCTAAAATGCACCAAGCAACAAAACTTCATGGACTTAATCAATGCTGGAGCTCAGATTATAGTTATACCTGGGGATCTCACCAAATTTAAGCATTGTACCCCCTATAATCTTAGGAAGGTAATCACACATAAAATTGAGGAATAATGGGTATTCTCACTTTAACTGCAGCCTCATCTAAATTTCCCATAGTCATAGTACCCATGGTCCTAAAATATCCCACATTGGGCATAGACACTCTAACATAATGAATATTAAAATTTAGTTTTTGGTGCTTATAAACTGGTTTTATAAAAAGGAACCCCACAAACTCCCCAGGGTGAAATAGTTAATATGGCACAAATAAACTAAAACCAGATCCTCGAGGATAAAAATTGATATAAAAACCTCATTACAAGAGAGTTGATTATCACCATTCCTTCCCCATTTGACAGCCCAATCTTGCCTGTTCTTGAACCTGGAAAAAATAAAGGATGTCTCATCATAGATTACTAGAACCTCAAAAGTGTAGTTCCATCCATAGGGCCCCCAGACCTAATATCCAATATTATTAAAACTACTAATTCCACTCAATAAACAACCAGCAATCATTTTTCTCTCATAGATGGAGCGAACAAGTTCCATTCAGTGCCTGTGTCACAGCTTCTCAACTGCAGACTGACTCCACCTCCGAAGGAATGCAACACACCCTTTCCTTGCTATCCATTGGACACCTCGATGATAGCCTATCCCACACTATCTATGTAGGCAACAGCCTCAATGCATCCACCTTCCTCCAGGAGCACAGATATGATGTTACCTGATGACATCCTCCTCCAATGAGATTCACTTGACACATTTCATTCATTAAGGACACAAAAGTCCAATGTCTTTAGTCCTTTTTGAGTTCTGATGGCAATATGCTTCACTTAGAAATTTTACTTCCAAATTAAAATTAACAAACAATCCCATTAGTGCCCTCAGAGTCTCCTGTCCTGAAGAAACTTTGGCAACCTCTTCTCATGGCTCCTGGAGTCTCTGGACCACTTCTGATGCCATCAATTGCCTAAGGGCTTCTGATACAAGACACTGCCTTTCTCAGCTGTAGGTTGTACACTTTTGAAACAACAAATGCCTGGCTACCAGCTGGGCCTTCCTGGAAACCAAGGCCCTGAGCCTGTGACCTTTTATCCCCAGCTGCCCATTATGCTTTGGGCCATGGAATAGCACTCTGCAAGCTTGGCATGGCTACAGAGACCTCCTTAAGACAGGATGAAGCCAAACCCAGGCCCTCTGGAATATACCACCTGTGAGAGGGAGTGGCTTTCTCTGTCCTCAGATCCTTGTCAGATATTAAAGGACGTCACCCCTCCACCATACCCCTAGGCTAGCAGGGGAAACCCTTAGGATGAATTGAGTGAACAATGGTGGGAGATCATAGATCATGTGCATGGCACTACACCACCATGCGTGATGCAGCTCAGTAGAACATTGCTACTTTCCATCCCTTAGCCAGGTGTCCAAGATAAAGAATGGTATCCCACCATCACTACGCTTTGCCAAGCTTCAGGCAGTGGTCTTAGCACTGGATTCCCTGGCCAACAAATGGTCCGTCTTCACATTTATCATAAACCGTTGGGTCATTACCTAAAATTTTCCCCCTTTAGCATGCAGGACTCTGGGGCTCTCCTGCCTCACAGATACCCAATATATACTTAAAAATCACACATCTCCACATCTACTAAGGCCACAACACAAGGTCTGGCCAGACATATTTTTATTTCCTTTGATGCTCCAGACATTACTGGCAGTAACCAAGACACAGATTTCACTTCTCAAAATATACAATGCTGGGCTCCTGAAAGAAACACTCAGTAGAACTTTCTGTCCCTGTTAGGTCCCAGAAAACTGAATTAATTAAGAGATAGAATGGTCTCTTCAAACATCTCCCTCTAAAATTCTGAACTTTCAAATAAA